AAATAGTTTGGTCAAGCGTATGATTATGAATGGACAAAAGGTGAACTTTGATCGGTGCTGACGGCTAAGCAGTTTCCTGGCGAAAAGGATAATACATTTGCGTAGAGTTTGTATCTTCTGTCATGGTCCATGTTGTTGAAGGACTAAATATTCAGTCGCTCCTTGATGCGTCTGTTCAACCAATGCCATATTCGACGACGCTGGTGCAATCTCCAATCTGACTCTCAGGAGGGTGTTAACCTCCTGTGTCCTGTTCTGCAAATCCAAGACGTTTCTTCGCTTTGGTTCTTGATTTCGCTGAAAACGATGCTTGCCTTCTTTCCGGACGTTTTGCTACCATGTGTCGTTCATGAATGTTTTCGATCATCCATCTTCCGCAATTTGAGGTGGATCTTTTGTTTTTGAGTGACAGCGTTCCAGAGGCCGAAGTGCCTTCAAACTGCCTGAGCGGAAAAAGCGACAACAGCATAATTCCTTTCCATCATAGCCTGTTTTCAGCACAATACCATCATCCTGTTTTTGATATGAAAGTATTGATTGACGTCGATCCTCATGGATGGGATGGAAGATGAGACGCTAAGGAGATTTAATTGTATTGTGAAATGACCGATTTTGCAATTTTAATAAACTTCAGAAAAATCGTACCACTCGTTAGACTGAATGGCTACAAGGAACATAACCCGTCAGCAACACATGCTGGCTTGTTAATTCAGTTTGATTGAAATGTCACTTAATGGCCGATAGCCCAGGTAACGTCTGCTCCAAGAATGCCATGTATTAAATTGTTGAGAAACGCCATTGACAAAATGTTTAAGTACATTTGGCCTTCTGCAGTACTGAAAGTACGGGCTTGAGGTATTGCCTCCAAGCATTGTATTTAATTAATGATTCAAAAGGAAATGTTCAGAAAAAACTGTTCGACGCTGTTTTAGAGTCTGATCTCATTTACATTGCCAAAAATTGCCTAAGAGAAAGTAGTTTTACTCAAACCGATGTAAAACAGTTCATGCAATGCTTAGTCGACCGGGATAAAATGGTCGATTATTGGAAACAAATTGTCGTTGCGCTTCAAACCGTTAATAATCTGGTCCCCCCTCTCTGTTGACATATGTATAGGTGCTTTTTCTCACGCATATAACCTGGCTGACCGACATATACACGCGAAAGTTTGTGCTGATTCTTGAAATCAAGATAATCTGTAGAATGTTCTTTTTCTTAATCTACACATTTTGCCTTCTCAAAGGTTGAGACGCTTCAGGAAAAAAGCAGATAAAGCTTCATGGCGTGTAGTCGCTGGCTGTTTAGTTTTCAATCTCGACATACCCTCCAAGCACTGTCAGTAGCCGCATCAGACGATCTCCTCAAAACTGACATTTCATGCACATCACGCATGACATTAATGAGTGGCGGCAGGTACAAAAGAGGAGGTTCACAAGCTAGACTGAATACAGTTAAGTACGTACAATCAGTGTGACCAGGTCTAAGGATAAATCCGAGGCAAACAGACCTGCTCATGCGTGTGAAGTAGATTTCTATAACCGAATTTCAAAGTGAATATAAATCTAGTGGAAGGACCGGAAGCACGATCTCTATTAATTCTCTAAGAAGGGAGAAAACCGGTTTTTCTCCAGTGGCCTATTCTTCTTGACCTTTTTCGATCTAGATGGAGAAAACGTCCAGAAGAAGATGAATGAATAACATAAGGAAACTAATGGAAAGATCATTCTCGCTTCTTGATAATGACCAAATCGAAAAAGTAGGCATTCGTCATCCCTCCGTCTGCCTCAAAGGAGGATTATCGTTGTTGTGTCATATCTATTCATGTCAAGAGGAAACGAAGTATTCTAGAGTATAATTCTACTAAACACAACAGTAGGAATGCCTCTCACGAAACTGGAAGTGTAAGCTCATTAAGTTTAGAATGTCTGCTTATCAGCTTTTGACCTGTTAACTAGGAGCAGGTAGTAAACTGACTGAAAATTGTAGTTTAAGGATCTAAGGTGACGAGGTACGGATTTATGCGGAGCAAATTTACCTTATGGTTCTGTGGAGGAACGCCGAGGTACATGGAATCAATCATCGACCCTGCTGCGGAGAAACCGAAATTCCCTCAGAAGTGTGAGACTTCGCGTCACTAAAGCCGACATAAAGTTTCCGTTATTCTTTGATATAATGAAAGATTGGCACTAACTTTATAAAATGCTGTGAGACAACCTTCAGTTTGGCTAGATCTTCAGGACCATCAGTCATTTCTCACTCTTGGTCACGTTATTGTCCTTCTAGAGATAACCACATGGTCAAATCTTGCATGCTGCAAGAGGAAGTCATGTAGCGGTTTGAGATTAATAAGTCCTATGAATCTATATCATCGACATTTATCCCGTTATCTGA